GGAGGTTGGCACAGGACAGGAATGGGGAGGTTGGCACAGGACAGGGATGGGGGGATGGCACAGGACAGGGATGGGGGATGGCACAGGACAGGAATGGGGAGGTTGGCACAGGACAGGAATGGGGGGATGGCACAGGACAGGACAGGGTTCAGAGCTGGTATTCACAGGGTCTGAGTCATACTTGACCTGATGACATGCAACAACAACAACAGCATGCCACAGGAGAAGTGGCAAACACTAAGTGATTCCAAAGAATATGTGGAATTGCTTGATTACTTATAGTTGATTTTGTACCTGCTGATAAGCTGTGGTTACCTGGGTTCCCAGCGTTTTTCTGAGCAGCGGTTGCTGTGGATGTGTTATGTGGAGGAGAATGGATGCTGATGTGAAATGGGAAATGAGTTTAGCAGTAAGGATGGCTGTACTTCCTCCTCCTACACCAATCTAAACACTATAATTAGGCTAAAAAGGGAAATGCATTTGCCAGCTTATGGCAGATAAGAAACTCTCAAGCATGTCAGGCGAGCAGGGCTAAGATGAAGTTTCTTTTGGGGACATGTGGAAGGTGCCTCTTATCCAAGAGAATGCCAATTATGAGCTTGTTAGCATTCTCAGTGTCTACACTACAATATAATTCATTTAACACTGTAAACTGAGACCTTCAACCTCATTCTTTTATGAAACTTTCTGTTTTGGAAGGGTACATCACAGACATTTCTCTTGCAAATTTTTTGCCCAAGAAAGATCTCTCTGTGTAATTAAGAAGCCAACACGTTTCAGTGCAGGCGGAATAACAAGAAAATTGAACAAGGACAAAGGTATGTCTTATGAATCCATGACATACGTCTTAGTCATTCTCTGCAGAATTAATTCTTTTTAAAATATGCTCAGTACTTCAAAACCCTTTAGGTGATGGTGGGGAAGCCTGGGGTTTATCCTTTCTTCTTTCTTTTATTTCCTTGTGGTCCCTGAATTATGTGTTTGCATTCCTTGTCTTTATTTACAGTTCAATATCCTACTCTCCTTTTGAAGATCCTTGTTAGATGTCCCTTTTATAATAGCTTCTGCAATCTCTTAACCGGTTTTCGTAATTCTAGTCTTATTAACTCTAAAGATATCCTAGCTGTTACCCCTTTGGACCTAAAACACAATGATGCTCTCAACTTAAAATCCTATAGGAATATTTTCTTGGCAGCAGAAGCAAGCAAGGTCCTTAGAATAAGGCCTGGCCCGCCTATTTCCTGACCGTAGCTCTGCCTCTCTAATCTCATCTTCTGGAGTCCCTCAGTGCTCATCAATATGACGTGATTTCTTTTCATCTACATCATACCTTTTCATTTTCACTCCCTTCTGCCCCTGCTGTTTCTCTTGTGAGAAATTATGTGTCCTGCCTCTTACTTTTTCTTAGTAAGCCTGACATGAGAGCGTCCATTGATTCCTTCACACCCCACAATGCTAGTGCATGGTTCCATGTAAACCCTTAATATTGTGTGAAGTGACATCTAGACTCGATCCTTTAGAAGAGCAGGGATAATGACTTAATTCATTCCAGAACCTAGAAAAACCTGGGTATTTAACAGACAATCTTGGCCATAGCTAAAGGACCATTATCTTTGATTATGTTAATTAGCTAATCCAGAGCAGAAAGTGGCCTTTTTTAAAAAAAAAAAAAGCATCAACTATTTAACTTTATATTCACAATATTCTCAAATGGAACTGCATCCGTTGTGCAATTTCCTTCTATGTCCTCCTGCAGATAAATTATTATAATAATGATTCATGTTATACCAAGCACTTACCAAATTTTTTGGGTGTTTCTCTTTGCCAACATGGATATATTTATACATGGAGTAGCCCATTGCAGCAAAAATAAACATGGCCACAGATACAGGCAATACATAGTAGAAAATGATTTTAATCTTCAATGCTGACGCCTGGTCTGTTAAAAAAAAAAAAAGGAATGCTTGTGATTGCCAATGACAAGACCCTTGTGTCGATAATTCCTCTTTGGATATTCAGTGTTCTAACCTATATGAGGTGCTCAAGCAGTATATTCTAAATGGGCCAAAAGTCCTTAGCTTGACTCTAGACCACCTTAAACAATAATCTGGACTCACCACAAGTGTTCACAAGAAAACATACCTTCATAGTCTGAGTGGGTAGATATCCCAAGCTTTTTTTTCTGACGATGAGGTTAGTACTGGTTCTCATAATGAAGTACGTCTAATATTCAGCCAACTCACTTAAAACAACAAAACCTTCCTACTCCATCCTTCTATGCCACTCATCTGTCTCAATCTCTCTCTCATAGCAGAGGACAAGAATATGTGAGACCACCTTTTAAAAAGGTTCCTTACTTGAATAACAGCATTGTTTTCAAACCTGTTGGCTAGATCTTCTGATAAGCTCAGAAAACTGGAGGTTGGCATGTGTGGATGTAGTGGGTGACTGGCAATGGGAACAACCACAACTTCCTCGTAGGTCCTGTGTGTCATGAGAGTCCACAGAAGAATGGAAAGGTCCAGGGGATAGCGTTAAGACAAGCAATGCAAAGTACATGTCCAAAACACGATGTACATGAATACTTATATGTAAACCAATAAAAAAATTTAAGAAGACAAAAAAAAAACAACATAAACAACACAGACATGTTTGAAGGATATTTACGTAGCTGAAATATCTTGTTGTCACCAAATGAGAGAACAACCAGCCCTTCAGCTCAGCAGTTCTTATCCATAGCATAGGCAGAAGAGAGAAAGTCATCACTGGCTTCTTGATCAAGTCCATACCACCTTGTCACTCAGCAGATCACATGGCAAGCAAGCTAACATCAGATTCACTGTTCTCCACATAGAGACTCATTGCTGAGATTGTGGGAATTGTCTTTATTAAACTGATGCTTGTAGTAGTTGTTGTAACACACTGTAGAGCTGGACCCAACCCATAGCTGACCTTCCCTTGGGTTTTCAGAGGCAATTTAACAACACAAGAGGAGATTGCACATCCTTCTCCTGCTGGTAGTCTCGAACCACATGCCTTCGTGATTACAGGACAGCATCTTGCCACTAGGCCACCAGAGCTCCCTTGTTAGTAATAGTTTAGTATTAATCAACAACCCTGGTATGTAAATAAGAGAATATAAAGATAATATGCAAATAAGAATTTGAAAACTTTTCAATCCTTAATGTTAAATATAATTAATTTGCTATATCCACTGGGCTGATTGGCAGGATTGTGATGGATGGTGAAGAGGTTGAGATTGTTAACAGCTTTAGTTTGCTTGGCTCCACAGTCAACACTTTTGGCTCCTGCAACTACAAAAAATTAAAAGACATATTGTGATGGGAAAGTCTGCTGTTAGGGACCTCTCCAGAGTACTGAAGAGCAATGGTGTCACTCTGAAGACTAAGGTGTACCTGATACAGGCCTTGGTCTTTGCCATTGCTATGCATCAGAGAGCTGGACAATGACTGGGGATGATAGAAGGAGAATTGATGCCTTTGTGCTGTGGTGCTGGAGGAGTATTGGATATACACCGTAGACTGCAAATAAAACAGGTTCATCCTAGAGAGGGTGAAACCAGGCTGCTCCTTGGAGGCAAGGATTCTGAGGCTTTGTCTGACATACTTTGGACATGTTGTAAGAAGGGACCATTCCTTGGAGAGGGATGCCATGCTTGGAAGTGTGGAGGGACAGTATAGGAGAGGAAGCCCCTCTCTGAGGTAGATTGATTCTGTGACTAGAGTAATGGAGTGAGTGTGTTGGAGACAGTGAGATTGGCACAGGACAGAGGAGGGTTTAGGGTTGTTGGACACAGGGTCACTATGAGTCGCAGGTGACTTGATGGCATATAACAACAACAATATATTTGGTAAATATCATTTTGAATTTAAAAAATATAAAAAATGTATATTGTAAAAAAAAAAAAAGTTAGGCAACTCAGTTTTATCACTGACCAGCTCATCATGATAAACTTGCTGTAAGTGCCTGTGTTGGACTGGATGGTAAATAAAACAGTAGCTTTACCATGAACGACAGGAATCCTAGGGTATTCTTGACACACCAGTGAAATCAGCAAGGGAGTAAACTACACTGACATTTAATTCCTTTGAAGTGCAAGCCCCAGTAAAAGCAAGGAAGCCAGTAAAGGATTAAAGACTGGGGGCAGCTGTGTCATGGAAGAGGACAGCAGACAGTAGTGGCTGGTGCGAAGAACCTAAGTCTGGAACTTCAACTCTGCAACCCTCAACAATTCCTGAGGAGTATATTCAATGGCACGACTCAGTGCTACCAGTGTCCAAGTTCCACTTATCTCAATTTAGCATGCGACCCAGACTCTTCAAACCAGCCCTGACAAGAGCTTGTTACAAAGAGCCGTGACAACAATGATTGATGCCATCTAGTGGACGAGAGCACATATTCGTTACAGGAAATCTTGTATATCCATTGGAAAAGATCCAGAGCCGACCGTCCAGTGGGCCCCAGGACCGACCATCCAATGAGCCCCAGAGCCGACCATCCAGGGAGTGGCAGTACTCTTCACAGAAGGAGACTGATCATCTTTTCCCCATGGAGCAGCTAGTGGATTTGAACTGCGTGCCTTTGGATTGGCAGTACAACTCCTTCTAGTAAGCCACAGAACTTCTTAAAAACATCATAATGTAGCTGAAGGTTTGGGGGTCTATGGAAAGTAGATGTATTTTTCAAAGCACAGCCCTAAAAGAAGCAATGCTGATGATGAAAAGGTGTAGGGCCTCCTCTCAGTGTTATAAAAGGTATTTCACATGGCCCAAGAGCTGAAATATCTAGGGAAAGGGCCAAATTAGATATGATGCCCAGTTATTTTTGTTCCCTTGCTAGCCTGGTGAGAAAGCCAGCTGCGGCTGCTGATTGGGAAGTATTTAATTTAAACTGCATTTCATTTCTGTCAAGAAGCCTTGGCATCACAGCAGTTAAAGTACTTGGCTATAAACCAAATGGTCAGTGGTTTGAACCTACCAGCTGTCTCCCAGGAGGAAGATGTGACAATCTGCTTCTGTAAAGATTTATAGCTGTGGAAACCCTATCGGGCAGTTCTGCTCTGTCCTAAAGAGTCTGTGAGTTAGAATTGATTTGATGGCAATGGGTTTAGTTTGGTTTTTCATTGTGCCAATTGCTTAAATGATTTCAACTGGAAATTTAGTCCTACTATTTGGCTATTGCCCAAGCTGTTAGTATTCAAGGAACTCTTCCAAAAACAAAAATGTTGTCTTCAATGTGCTCTGTTTGGCCTGTAGCTTGTTTGTAATTTTTGTCATATTTGACATATGGTCCTTGTTGCTATGTGCTGTCAAGCTGAAAGTGACTCATAGCTGACCCTCCAAGCGGGGTTTTAGAGGCTGTAAATCACACAGGAGGAAACTGTTCATCTTTCTCCCACAGAGTACCTGGTAGATTTGAACTGCCTACCTTTGGACTGGCAGCACAACTCCTTATCGTTATGTCATTAGCACTCCTTTGACATAGGTTTGTTGCTATGTGCTGTTGAGTTGGAACTGACCATAGCTAACCCTCCAGGGGGTTTTCAGAAGCACTAAATCACACCAGAGGAGACTGTCTATGTTTCTCCAGTGGAGAAGCTGATGGAATCAAACTGCCTTTAGAATTTCAGCACAGCTTCTTACCACTAGGCCACCTGGGCTCCCTTGACAAACAGTAGAAGACCTGAAATTTCAAAGGAAATGGTAGGACAAGGGGTGTCATGACTAGAATTATGCCTCCTAAAATGTATGAAGTAAACCGTAAGTTCCAGACTTGTGTTTATAATCAATTAGGAATGTGTTTCCCTTATTGTATTAGAAAGCCATATAAATGAAGGATACATTTTAGTTCAACCACCCTTAAGGTATAAAAAAGGATAGATTAGGGCATGGGGTAAGCGAGATACGGGGGCAGACAGGCACCCTATCACGGGGATATCACCAAAGCATAGGCAGAAGAGACAACGAACTTTTAGAAGGGTCAGCAGAAGAGAAAAAGACTTCTCTTAGAGCTGGAGGCCTGAATTCAGACCTCAGGTTCCTAATCCAGGAGAAAATACATTTCTCTGTGTTACAGGCTCTCATTCATGGCATGTCTACTATCATAGCACTAGATAAGGAGGGCTCAGACAGAGCTTGGAAGACAAGACTTTTCCCTTTACAGGTGCGGTCACTAAATCCTCTTGCCATTCTCTGGGATAGTTTCACCTTGAGATGAGGGAGTAGGATGGGAAGGGAAAGTGCAGGGACATCCTGTTCATACCCAGACAATGATGCAAACTAAATCTAGGGCTCAGTCATCACTCACTGAAATCAAGTCATTGGATTTATTTTCAAGTCTCAGGTTTTGTATTTAAGTTCCTCTTATCTTAGGGAAGAAAATTATTAAACTAATGTCATGCTCACCACACTATATCTCCTAATAGGAAGAAACAGCCATATCTTCAGCTATTGTTCTCCCTGGCAGCCAAGTTCAAGTGAAGCAAGAGAGAAACAAATAAAAGGAGAGGGAAGCCGTTTTAAGTGGGAATAATATAGGACTCGCTGATCCAGATGCTCATACAGCCATCAGGGGTATCTGCAAAAGACTGGTGGCTTCTCTAACCTGTACTCGAGAAGCGGAGCTCTCGTGGTCTATAGGGCGCTGAGCTGTTATCGTAAAGGTAGTGACTCTCTGCAGCTCAAATCCACCAGTGGCTCTGTAGGAGAAGATGGACAAGTTCCTTCCTTGTGATTTAGAGCCTCTAAAACCTCCTGAAACTCAGCTGTGAGTCAGCTCTGACTTGAGGGCAATGAGTGAACGAGTGAGAGTCTTCCAGAGGAAAGCAAAAGATTTCTGTTCCTCAGTGTTTTAAGCAATAATAGCCTGATGCTCTTGAAGACATGAATTTTTAATTTCTCTCTATCTCTGAGAGAGAGAGAGAGAGAGGGAGAGAGAGAGAGGGGAAAGGAAGGGAAGGGAAGGGAAGGGAAGGGAAGGGAA